ACTTCCTGGGGCATGGGAAAAAACTTCCTTCATCATCAACCAAACTTAGCCTTTCAAGATCCATTACCACCTTAATTCCCATAATCTCTCCCTTCCCCAAACATTCGTGCTTTGTAGACAAAAGCTGATGCCAAATATCGGTCTGATCTCATTGGCTTGAGATGGGTCCATTGCATCTTGAACCAGTTAAATTTTTCAACAGACCAGGGCTTGAAATACCTGATTACCAATCAATAATCAGCAAGAAGTTGCTTATGATCAGCGGAAAAGCAGGGTTTTCAACCTGAAAAGCAGGGAAAGTCATGACTGCCAATCACCATGATTGGGAATTTTGGGAATGTTATTTCAGGCCCTGACAGACAAACACCATGTTGATAGTATGTGTTTATATACAGTATGTAAGCATAGTGTAAGAATAACAGAATACTGTGTTAAAAACCTTGCCAATTATTTCAGATAACTAGATAAGTAAAGTAATAGTCATTTGTAATGAATCTTTTATATTTGAATCTACTGTGATTAAAATATGTTTAATTAAAATGCCAGGTAAAATAAACTTGTCAACTTGTATTCCTTATTTCAAGAACGAGTTGATTGACAATCACACAAACACAACTCAAAACAGATGTATTACATAAACGATACAATATAATTACGTTTTTAGAATTTACCAAATATATGCTTCTATTTTTACCTTTGATACAATGACCTGAACCATTAATATTTTGCAATAATATCATTATATATTGAATCCTCTGTCAATTCTATCAGTCCATTAAACGTTTGGTTAAAGGTTCACATTAGGGCCTATATGATGAGTATAACAACTTACCCGTCAGTTTGATAGATAATTATAAACTACCACAGCGACGGAAGCCAAGCAAATACCAGCCATTTATATTCTGATTATGAACTGTACAGATCACCAAGCAGTAGTATAGGTTAATTACAGCAATCACAGTACTTTGTACTCAAACATAAACTTCAGTAAAGTCACGAATATTTGAAAAGATATAAGACGAATGAAAATATGTTGTATGTGGCATTTAATAATTGTAAACATTCTTCGAAGCGAGACTTGAATTTCTAAAGCTCAGTGGGATAAAATATCATTGAAGAGAGACTTCGATTATTATTCAAATATGTTTAACTTAATTGTTAAAGAATTTGTTTCTTTAATTAAGCGAGGTTTTCCTGTTCTTTTAAAAGTCAAACTGTAAATGTATAATATATGTTTTCGCTCGTCAATGTGGTCATTAGTAGATTAATGCGAAGAACATTCGAATTGCATTCAGGAGCCAACGTTTCGGGAATCCATCTATAGTGTCTGGTCGTAGCGCAGTTATTTGTGTAAACGAGGGGTGACGTCACCGGTGAACAGGATGGAGATATTCTTGCGGCAGATAGGCAACATCACATGGTGATTCGTGTTTAACGAGAGAGAGAAAGTGTGTGATATTGAACCTCGTCGTCGTGAAGTAATAAACTTCAATAACAATCTATTTAAAAAAATGAAGGGATTTGGCGTTTTTGTAAATGAAAATCTCTAGTGGGACATTTCATACATTTTTTACCTAACCAAGAGCATGTGTGAAAAATCAAGTATAGAACCTCTCACAGGGATTAAACCTGTGGTCCTGCGATTCCAGTGCAGCGCTCTAGATAACCTTAGACGGTTAAAGGTGGACAACTGGACTCTGCAGCTCCGTTGGTTAAGCCTGGTTCACATAAAATCGTTAAGCAGTCGCAGACTGTTGCAGACATGTGCCGATCCGTCGCCGATCCGGTCTCAGACAGTCTGCGCGAATCTGCGTTTGTGTTCATATAAAAATTCGGCACATGTCTGCGACTGTCTGCGACTACTTAACGATTTTATGTGAACCAGGCCTTAGAGTGCTGTATTGCAGGTTCGATTCCTGCCGACGAGCCTGTAGTTCCATTTCTCGCACCTACTCCTGATTACTTCTAAAAGGTACAAAATTACGAGGAGAGAGGTTCAGATTTGACTTCTACTACCGCTACTGTTAAGCGACAATTAACCAATCAAATGCGCTTCATATATCCGATTAACAGGGACATAGCGACCGGGGGGGGTCTACCCAGCTGTGAATCTCGGGTAAAATTTTGAGATTTTCAGGTAAAATTTGCATAATAAAGTCGAAATCTTTGTAAAATACTGTCATACATTTATTCAGTAATAAATTTAGGTGGTGTTTCCACAAACAAAACTATTATATGTTTTATCGCCATGCAAACAATACAAAGAACTTATTAAAATACGGTCAATTTAAATCCAATTCGTTTGCGAATTTGGTTTAGAAAACGCCAGAGATGCAGTCCTGGATCTTGAAAAATGTAAACGTTTTCTGGGGGAGGACCATCAGACCCCCTCTACTTCAGAAACTTAATATGATAGTGAAAATCAATGGGGAAAATTCTCTGTTGTAATTAATGCATTTCAGGTAAAATTTTAAGATTGAAGTTCAAATTTCAGGTAAAATCCTCTGACCCCCCCCCCCCAACTTCAGATGCTTTGCTACGTCCCTGCCGGTTAACCAACCAGATGCGTACTAAGCCAGTGAGAGGTAGTGGTAGCGGTATAGTAAAAGTGAAATCTGAACCTTACTACTATAATATACGGATGACGACAGGACAGATCAAAGTGTCCATATTAGAGAGGTGTCGATTGTTTTTAACGATTTGCAATGTCGACCTTCGTGTCTTCTCCGACTGATATTTGCTGTAGTGGTGCATATCATGAATTCTTACCACATGGTGTCCCCCAAAATGTCCCCTCTGTTTTTCTTAGTTACTTTAAGTTATGGTAATTAACCAACAACGGAGGCAACATTTTTTCGGACACCCTGTACAACACACTACTATAAGTTAATAAATATCAAAATTTTAATTGTTTTAAGTATAAACTATGAATGTGTAGCGAAATGTAACACAACGAATGCATGTTTTCTGAAAACTGTTCCCGATGACCAGTTGTTTCTAGTAAAGTTCCAATTGGACGACCAGAATTTCGGATGTCGATATTTCGGATGTTGATCTACTGTAGCTTGTCTAAAGCTAGGTTTACACTAATGAAATTTTCTGTGATGACAGTGGGAATTTTTCATGGGTAAATTCTAAGTTTTGAAGAGAAGTTTGAGGAAACTGACTGGAACTGATTCATTGTTTAACACGGAGTCAGTTCCATGAAGTTTTTCTTACAAATCCTTCAAAACTTAGAATTTACCTATGCATACAAAATTACTACTGTGATCACAGAAACTTTGATAGTGTAGCTATAAACCGCCAGCCTTGAGGTCGTCGTCGGAGTGAACGAAGCTAAATTAAAATTCCCCGGCAGGCAAGTCCTGCTGGGGAAATTTAATTTAGCTTAAGGTGGGTCGATACAGTTTTTAAAAATTCATCAGGTGTTCAACACTTCTACATGTTCAAACTGCGCATTTTTAGGATTTATTCAGCAGATATTGGAGTTCTTATATATTTTGATAACTCAACTATCAAATTATATTAATTTCAGTAGCAGGGAGTTCGTTGCTATGACGACATACGTGTACGAAATTCACTCCAAAATGGTCTATCGCCTCGTATAGTTGGAAAAGAAGCATGGTGACCACCAATTTTTTTCATGCATTATTTTACTTGGACGAAAAGCTAACATTTAGCAAAATATAAAAAATTCTGTAATGCCATTGTTTTGGAAAATGCGAAAATGTCATATTCTGAGGTAAAATTTTTTTGGCATTACAGAATTTTTTATTTTTTGTATAATGAAAGTTTTTAGTGGTGCAATACAGCATGCAAAATTTGAACATAGGTCACCAGACAAAATAAAGAGATATAGCGCATTGTTTTTCTAAAATGGAAAATTCTAATGACGTCAGCAATTGACATAAAACGCTATAGAACACGCGCAATGGCGCGATATGGCGCGAGCAGCTGCTCACGTCAGGTCATTTTGGAACTTCTTTCATTTTGTTAATCAGTTTCCGCGACCTGCGCGTAAAAATGGTCCCCCGGTTTCGAATTCGCGATTCTTGAGCAGAGTTCTTGTGATAACTATATCGAGCCACCTTAAGTATAACAAAACACGCAAGAACAAACATTCACACTACACAAGATTATATCATTTAGAAACTATTGCTATTTAAGACATCACAACAAATTCCCAATTATTTACAAGTTATTACGGGATTTCATTCTTGTATTGATATCATGAACACAGCTTTTCTATAACCCTTATAGGTTTCAACTGAACAACTTAATTTAGTTAATTATACAGATTACAATCGTGGACATAACTTGTTAATAAAATTTTAATTTGCCTCTGTGAGAAGTTAAATTATATAGTTTGATTTCTGTAAGTTGCCTAAAATACCCCCTCCAGAACAATGACAACATTTGGTGGGGGGAAAGGGGAAGAAACCTAATGAAGTTAGTTGAATATATTTTCCTAAAATTTTGATATATTTTATTAACAGTTTCAGTTTTGTCACGATTGCAGATATATTTCTTCCAAACACACATTTAGCCATAGTGTTATAGTTTAAAATGGCACATTAAAACGTCCCTTTTGTATACCTATACATTTTATCCATGCTGATCATGCATCCATATGAACAGTATATAGGTAATGATATGGTTGCCCCTTCGCTGGAATTGTAAGGAAATTAAAATATATAATCTCGTTTGCTTACAATTATTACATTCGGTACGTACAGATATGGTTTTTGTCGATGTATATAACCTACAATCAGTGAATAATCCATAGACTGATTAGGCTGAAACGGCAACATAACCCCCTTTTCCCCTTTTCAATGTTGCGAGACTAATGATAAGTGTTTTGTCTTCTATTCCGTGGTTGATATTTTTCCCAACAAATAGGGCAACATTGAAACGGAGGAGAGGGTTTACAATTATTTTACCAAATAATCAGTCTCACCTTTCATTGTCACTGATTGCAGTAGAACCAGGGGATGGATCTAGCCAGATCTGGTAAGGAAGTGCTCATCGACCGTTGAACCACTAGAGGGACCTACCGCAGCAAGGCAGTAGTCTATAGTCCTGCTTCGCAATTTCTTAATCATGTTACTATCTCATTTTGTCTCTATTTTAATTCTGCCTTTTTAATTGCCTTTCCAAATAGAAAAATAGACTTGATAAGGAAATTACCACTACCCTTTCAATCCCATTTCCAAGGCTATAAGGGGTGTGCACCCATCCCTTCCCCCCAGTAAATCCATATCTGAATAAAACTAGGTTGCATCCATTGGCTCTTCGCTTAGTTTTAATTCATAATTTGGGAAAATTAGTTTGACAACATCTTCACCATGCCACTCGTCTTATATCTCTACATATTGAAATAAATTGGACACCAAACTCCATCAAGGAGTATGTTCTTGTATTTCTTTGTCCAGAAATATCTTGATTCTCCTGATGCGAGAAATTTTCCTGCTGATTTGGAATATTTCCATTCGGTATATCCAGAAGGTATCCTTGTGTGTGCATGGCGACGATATTTCCGTTCATTTCAATAACAGGAGAACCACTAGAACCACGGAAAAAGGTTGTGTCGTATGGGAGATGATCTTGATATTTTGTATCGTTCCACAACAACTGTGAATTGGTCATGTGTACGCCACTAAATTGTTTATATCTTTCATTCAATCTGTCAAGCCATGCATCATAGCCAACAACAACGCTGACTTCCTCATGCAGTTCCTTTCCTTCCGGATGACCAAGGATAACTACTCGACCATCTGATAGTTGCCAATTTCTGACCATCGGACCAAGTGGAACACGATCTGTAAGACCTTCGCTTTGCTTTAAACAAAAGAATTTGTAATCCAACAATGGATTCTCAAGTGTGGTATATTGTGCTTCGTCAACTTCCACAGAAACAATATGTCCTGTTGGTTCAGGTAACAAGTAATCAAACCGAACAGTGATGGGCAAGTTGGGATTTTTAACCTCCGTTCTTTCATCTTTAATCATCCTGTAAACATGATAGTTAGTTATTATCAGCGTGTCTGTCACAAGGAAACATGTCGCTCGAACTTTGCCACATGCAATTTGACCAATGGATTTCATATATGAGACCAAATGTTCATTCAGTCTTGCAGGCATTTGAGTCGAAGAATTTTTAAATACTTCGCTTTTTGCAAAGTTGAAAACTTGTCCATCCCAAATGACAAATTCCCCATCATTTTTACTGGGTTTATCATCGTTCTTAGTCAACAAGTTTGTATAAGCTGACTTTTTAACATCTTCTGTCATGGCTTTACGAACTTTCTCAGTAAAAGGTCCCTTAGTTGATAGTTGGCGGCTATACACGTATGAA